GTGTAGAGTCGGAATCGTTGTGTGGGAGAGAGAGACTGCTGTGACGGTGTAGAGTCGGAATCGTTGTGTGTGAGAGAAAGACTGCTGTGACGGTGTAGAGTCGGAATCGTTGTGTGGGAGAGAGAGACTGCTGTGACGGTGTAGAGTCGGAATCGTTGTGTGGGAGAGAGACTGCTGTGACGGTGTAGAGTCGGAATCGTTGTGAGAGAAAGACTGCTGTGACGGTGTAGAGTCGGAATCGTTGTGTGGGAGAGAGAGACTGCTGTGACGGTGTAGAGTCGGAATCGTTGTGTGGGAGAGAGACTGCTGTGACGGTGTAGAGTCGGGATATATCAATCTTCTAATATAAAACTTGATACCAAAAGACAATGAAGAAATGCTAAGACGTGATTAAAAAGTCAGTACGCGGCCAAATTTTATAAAATAAATACGCAAACTGTGAAGTAGGGTAGAGAAGGTGAAACTAGTTTCGATATTCATATTTATCAGAAACAATGGAGGCATTACTATCAACCACGTGCGCTTTTCTGTGGAGGGGGGAGGCAAGTGTAAAGGAAGAACTGGGATCGAAGGAGGAGGGAAAAGTTTTGGCAAAAACATTAAAATTCTCTCTGATGAAAAACAAAGCCCCCCCCCCCTTTCGAAAACGCTCGGGTTATAGGTTATCGTATTTTTTAGTTAACGACAATATTCGTAGTGACATTTACGTAATTAACTTATAATACTTATAAACCCTATATTCGGCTATATTCAGAGCGCTGTTCGATACTGAAGCTGGTGATGCGCTCTGTAATGATAAAATATAAGACACTGATAAAGAATTCGTTTAAAATAAAGTTTGTTCCCATTTAAATATCCACTATTTTGAAATAAAATGGAATTCAACAATTAAAAATATAAGAATGTCTCCAACTTGTACAAACACCTATGCTCTGGAATTACATAAATTAAGCTGACTTATATACATCAAAAATCACAGTTCGACTATTAAATTAATTAAGCTCTCAGATCAGTTACAACAATCACAGAGAAGAGTGGTTTGATTTACACCAATCATCGTGAAGAGTGTTTCAATAGTCTACATCTGAACAATTACAAGTGTCTGTAGTGGTGGATATAAATAATGTCACTTACAGCAGCTGGTCCGACACCTTTTCAAAACACCCTGTGCACACGAATATGGAAGCGTTTCAGCATTATTCCCACGCAAGACTAACACATTTTCCCGAATCACATCAATTGGTCCGATATTTATAATCCAATATACCACTGTTGGTTGCTCCTCTAGAATCCATCAGTTGCTCCTCCTCTCCGATAGTCGGCGCTAGCATACAGTTCGTCTTTATCCCGAACAATTCCCATGATAACAGAACTAAAACTACCCATTTCCTCTACGTCATGTCCTTTCTGCTGAAGTCCCTGTAGTACCTCCTACCAAGTTAAAACACAATGACATAAGTTCTAATCAATAATTAAATATTTAAGTAAGTTTTAATACAGAAAACAGTTTAATGACCACTACATTACACGACCGTTAAGTCGAAGCCAGAAAATATGAGTATAACGTAAAACATGTCTACCTTAGTATTAATGGAGAGATTCGATCCCATATATATATATATATATATATATACACTA